CGTGGGGCGCGGAGTCCTTAGGGGACTGAAACAGCCCCTGCCTGGCGGGTGTCCGGGCTGCACAGGGCTTCTGCCGCCTCTGGGGGGAGCACAGGGGAGTCTGCGGCGTGCGAGGGGCATGAGGGGGCCTTCGGGGCGTAGCTCTCGGAGAGCAGGGAGGCTTCCGGGAACTCTTCTTAGGCGTCTGCAAGGAAAACTGAGTTTAGTGGTTGAACGCGGTAACCCACACTCCCTAGGAATGGCGGTCCTGTAACCTCTGGGGCGATTAGAAAGGCGAGTGGGAGACCGACAGGCTGCCGAAGGCACGATCTTGGCAATGACCCGAGTCCACGGCCACAGCAGGACTCGCCGCTGTGTGGCCACGTTTTCTAGCACCAAGCGCACACCCAGCCCGTCTCCCTGAGCCCCGTCATCTCAGTGTTTGCCAATCTCACTCGGGCACAGCTCAGCTAGTCTTCCTCCTACGGGACACCGGTCCCCGAGGCAGCCTCTGCTGTCACACCACCGGCCGCACACCCACGGCCACCAGGTGATCACGGAGCACCTACTGTGCGCCAGGCAATGCGTGTGTGAGTGTGTGTGTGTGAGTGTGGGGTGGGGGAGCGTGGGGTGGTGGAGCGTGGGACACACAGAGGGCACCAGACAGGAAATGACTCCCCGCATGGCAAGAGCCTGCAGACCTACAGGTCAGGAGCCCACACGCCTCCCACGGCTGCACCCTGACGGGAACACTGCCTGCTGGTCGGGTGCTCACGGGGGTGGACGGGACAGCGCGTGTGGCTAATGCGATGTCAGGAGCCTGCATGGGGCCAGAGGGAGCTGCAGGACAGCTCGCTGTTAGACCAATGGAGGCTGGGGTGGGAAGGGATCAGGGGGGACACCCAAGCAAGGCTATCAACAGGTGAAGGGGGCCCAGCTGGTGTGGCTCAGTGATTGAGCATCGACCTATGAACCAGGAGGTCACATAGGTCACGGTTGGATTCCGGGTCAGGGCACAAGCCCGGGTTGTGGACTCCATCCCCAGTAGGGGGTGTGCAGGAGGCAGTCAATGGATGATTCTCTCTCGTGATTGATGTTTCTATTTCTCCCTCCCTCACCCTTCCTCTCTGAAATCAATAAAGATATATTGGGTTAAAAAAGGATTTGGGGGTGGGAGGGAACTGTGGGTATAAAAACTGAGTAAAGGTAAAAAACAAAACACCTTTAACATCCTGCTCTTGCTCCCCAAGAGGTTCAGAGACAAAAGACAGGTCAGCAAGAGAATGTTCCAATGTTGGGTCTCAGCCTAGTTTGAAGTAAAAATGGTGACCTGTGGGTGCCACCCCCAAATCTGAAATCTCCGCTGTGGAGACAAGGAAATGCACTCGCTGCAGGTGAGCAGAAAGCAGGTGAGTGGCCTCTGTGTTGTCTCAGCTCTGAGCCCCCTCTTCTCTCCTCACACGTCTCTCATCGCCATTTCATCTACCCGACCTTCCCCTGCTCTCCTCTCCGATCTTTCTCTTTTTGATCACCTCAGATGTCTCTCCCATCTTGTCTCTCTGCAGACTCTCTGTCTCTGATTTCATTCTTCTCCCTCCTCTCTCTCCCTCCATGAATTCACTCCTATCCCACATCTCCTGTCTTCTCTCCTTGGTCTCATCTTTCTCT